CCCCAAAACCCCAAAACCCCAAAACCCCAAAACCCCAAAACCCCACGATATGGTCAAAGACTGAAGATACTAGATTCACATTAAAATTTCTTGAAGCAAATCGGAAATTTTGTAGCTTGACTTATCAGTGGGATCAAATTCGGCCTTCTCTTTTTCTGAATATGGCTCAACACTCAGTAGTTGTTCTCTATTGCTTCTATCTGCTGGAGAGTCATACAAGGGATATCTCGAGTTGATGGTTGAGAGAGAATCTCTAATATTTCGTTATAGAACCTCTTATTTTTGCCTGATATATCATCATGTCCGCTTAGAGGATTCCCAACATCTTCGAATACTATAGGGTTAATTTCCTTTGAATACTCTAAAGTAATGACACAATAGGGTTACCATTGCTTTGGCTTTGTGAAGAATTCCTAGAAATTGTCTCTCAGTCACTTTGAACCGGTCAATGAAATACTGTATCAAATTATTGCTAAGGTTGATTTTGGAGGTATTCATCTTGCTGTCCTTCTATAGCTATAACTTCGGAAAAAGCACTTTATATTCCTCTAGGTCAGACTCATGGAGCTTGATTGCCTTGTCCAAATACTTTGAAGTGAGCTCTAAATTATGATTCCATGCCTAACCTCTAACCCTAAGCAAAGTAATCAGCTCTTTCTTCAAGTTTTCCTTGTTGTCATTACGATGTTCATCGAATAAATCGTCCTACAGAGATTAAGGTTGAAGAAAGGATTTTCAACTTACTCCGAGCCCTCCCTTCTTGCCATCGAAGAGGACCTGAGATTTGTTCGTATTTTGGATTATTTTTTGTACGTGAATTTGGTATTCATCGAGGAGGTTATTTGGAGCCTAAGGTTAGGGAGTGGGGTTACGAAGTAGGAGAATGTTGTGCTCGTCGGTCTTGGAGGTAAGCGAGTCAATCTTGTTCTTCAAATTATGAATGATCTTCTGTACATTGTGACTTGAAGACTTCAGTTTCAAGATCTTAGACTGACTGGTCTTGTTGATCTGATCAAACCTTCCTTTAACGGTTCTCTTTTTGAGAAGTTTAATTTTTCTATTGATAAACTTGGGAGCCTACTTTCAGATCATTTTGTCTGAACGGTCAAACTTTTTCTTAGCCAGGACTGCCTTCTTGGCTAATTTTGATTCTCTGGGTTCTTTTAGATGTTTAGGTTTTTCGAGAATTATAGGAGTGATGAATCTGAATTTTGGATACTGAGATTGTTTACTTCCTCGTTTGGCAAATAATTTAAGGAAGTTATTTCTCTACCTTCCTTCTTAAATCACAAGGACTACCTATTTTCCATTTCAAAACTCTACTCAAACCACTCTCCCAAAAACCTAAAACCCCAAAAAACCTACAAAATCCCAATTCCAACCCCTCAAAACACCTCCAAACCTATCTCCTCTTTCTCTAAAACCTCTTTTTCCCTAATCTTTAAAACCTACTCTTATCAAACCTAAATCTCACAAATTTACACTTACGAATTAATGCTAGACTCTTCACTTGACTCTGCTTCTAATTCTACAAGTCCTACACTCACTTACTGCTCTGAGGAATCTTCTTAGGGACAGACCTATTCAGCTTATTTTAAATTCCTCGTGTTGTTGTAGAAATGCTTCATAAATTGATCCTTTGGAGTTATCTGGCTCTCTCTGATGGGCAACATTACTATAATCTGTCAGAAATTCTAGAACCTCGGATGAAGGGAATTATAGTTCTAAATGAAGCCTGGATAACGTACCTACATCACTGGTGGGTAAGATGCTAGGATTCTCTAGTGCAGAGATAGTCGATGCTATCTCCTTCACTGATAGGCTCTTATTCAGCCTTCCAATGTACTGAGTTCCACCATTCAGCCTGATTATCCTACAATATTGATGAATGTCTTACTTAAATTTAGACACTTTGCTTCTAGTCTTTAATGGCAGTGGCAAAGCAGGGCTATCTTTGAGGTTCATTTTAAATAATCTAAGCAATCTTAGGGGTTGATACAGGCATGAAGGACTCCTCACTAATCCCACATAAAGCCACATTGTGAGCTTAAAACCTTACTTTTTGATATCAAGTTTCTTTTGAGTCTTAGATTTAATGTTCTAAATGAGATATTAGCAAAAGCAGATGAAAAGATTCAAGACATGCTTCCAATTATTGGTTGAGAATGCCAAAGGATTCCTGGGGAATTATATGATGAAATATGTGGAACCCTTTCTCCAATAAAACTTTTTGTCTGAAGACAATGGCATCAATTGGCTAATTTATTAGCACTTTTGGTTGATCTGAGAAATCTTCGACTGAATTGTAATGTTCATCAATAAGTAAATCTCCTTAAAATTTCTAGAACCAATTTGTTTATTGAGATTAGAAATAGTTAGAGTTGGGCTAAAACATGGTTTACAGGGGCTAGATATAAACAATATGAGACAACTACTCTATCAGATTTATCCCTGAACACAGCTCTTACAGAAGTTGCATCATTTGGTGCACGAATAGATCTAGCCTAGGCTATCGAAATCTTTCAGGCCTAAAACTCGAGAAGCGTGCGACCTGAGAATGATTTATTTATAGATAAAATCCAATAAATTTTATTTAGCCAAGTGCATAAGTTGGTGATATTTTTCCTGTTAGAACAAATTCATCTTTTTATGTTGAATCCTCTGGGTAAATTGGCTAAAATATTTTGGATGACTAAAGCCCAGATCTCTGAGGTTCTACTATCCTGAATTTTGGGAGAGGACTCAAGAGAAGGAATATTGGAGTCTAACTTAATTCAAGGTATTTCGTATGAACGATACCTCAAAAAGAAATCTTTAAGGGAAATATCAGACGTGTAGTACCGATTAGTTATGAACTTATTAGTTTTCCCATAACACCAGCCATCTGTGATCTTAGAAAGAGGTACCCACTGCTCTTTGGGTTACTAACTGAAGTATCTAAAGGAATGGATTGAGTTCTTTTACCAAATCAGCTAATATTTCTAAGCCAGAATTCCAACGACTTCTAGAAAGCCCATAAAGAGATTTCTGTTTGAGCTACTTGACCTCTTCCATGAGCTCCTTGAGCCTCTGGTTTACGCTAGATTAATCATGTGTGTTATAAAGAGAAAACTGAGCTAACGCCACTTTTTGTATGTAATTTGTCTATATAAGCTCATATTCTTGCTGCTGTGAGATTAGAGGAAGTTCATAAGAGTCTAAGTCGAAGATAGAATTACTCACTTTTTATTTAGGCACGAGAAGGGGAAAATTGAGATTTTAGCTTTACAAAGAATTCAACCAAGGAAGACTTTAAATTTAATAACCTTCTCTGGTGTTATAGTAATGCTGAATGTTTAGACCAAAGTTAATAGTAACATTATATCTCTTAAAAGATTTAGAAAAATCCTTCCTGTTTACCTCACTTAATTTGATGCTGAGTTCAGGATTTCTTGACCCTAGTGTATTCTTGAATCGTAGCTGTTGAAGGTGGCTTGATCGTTCTATAAAATATAGCCCATTAAAATTCCAAATAGAGAACTTTGTAAGAACTATAGCTAACTAGGCCTTCCTTACACTCTTCTTATGCAAAAACGGCCAAATTTACAACTTACTCAAAAATTTATGTACAGGTCGGCTTGAGAAAATAGTATTCCTCCCTTTCTTAGCCACATCCTACACCCAAAGTCATCCCTCTTCACCCTCAACAGGCCCTAGGACCTCTTCAGCACCCTCTTACCTTCCCTTGTACCCTTCTCATCCCCATAGTCTTCATCTTCTACACAAAAGTCACCTCAAAATTTCCTCACCTCCATTCTATTCTTCAATATTATATAATTTCCTTGGGGTTTTGGGGTTTTGGGGTTTTGGGGTTTTGGGG